ACCTGTGCGCCTTAACTCTGCCATCTTCACAGTGCAGGAAGGGAGGCTCTACCAGAAAACTGTCACACAAGAGGGGAAGGCTCTGGAGTTTCCACAAGCAGGGAATTGGAGGAGTTTCCGAGGTTTTCTCTCTCTCTTCAGATCATTAGGGAATGTGTTCTTGAGTGTTGAGCTTCACTCACCGTAGGTCATTGTCTCGGTCAGGCCGGTCCTGGATCAGCCAGAGAAGGTCGAATCGGGAAAGCAGGGCAGCAGGAAGCTGTATATTCTGCTCCAGGGTGCGGCGAGGGTTGTAGCGCCCATAGGCAGGGTTGGCGGCAGCCAGGATGGAACAACGGGCATTAAGTGTGGTCAGAATGCCAGCCTTGGCAATAGAGATGGTCTGCTGCTCCATAACCTCATGGATGGCCGTGCGGTCGGCCTCAGCCATTTTGTCAAACTCGTCGATGCAGCACACCCCCTGGTCAGCCAGCACGAGGGCACCGCCCTCCAAGGTCAGCTCTCCAGTCACAGAGTCTCTCAGCACAGCTGCCGTGAGCCCTACTCCTGAGGAGCCCCGGCCTGTCGTGTACTGGCCTAGATGAACAGAAAAAAGCAGACGTGCTGAAAAGGAGGGAAGGAACAAGGAAAGCAGCAGGAATACGGCAGAGGTGAGGCCAGCCCCAGAATCACTGCCTACCCACTGGGTCTGGGTCTTCCTGAGGCGGCTGAAGATCTGTGCAGCACCAGCACTAGAACAGAACCTCCCACCCACCAAGGAGGAGAAACAGCATGTGGTCCCATGTGTCTAGTACAAGTACCTCTTCCAGGGCCTAGTACTCACTGCGGGGTGCCAAGCGATCAATGTAAGACAGGAGCTGAGACTTGGCTACACCTGGATCCCCCATCAGGCAGATGTTGATGTTGCCTGGAAGGGAGGAAAGCCCCAGGTGAGCCTTCTTCCAGTGCAAGCTGCCCAACGACACCCAGCATTGCTTCCTTTCCTCCCTCCCTGCACTCACGAGGCCAAGATACTAACTCTTATTCTGTGACACACAGATCACAGATTTGATCTGTCATGGGACACTAGTTGACATCCTTTCTCCCTCGCTTCCCACCTTACCCCTGATCTTCATGCCCCGAGGAGACTGATCGACCCCTCCCACCAGCAGGAGTAGCAGGGCCTTCTTCACATCTTCATGCCCATAGATCTCCGGGGCGATGGAAGCAGCCAGCTTCTCGTAGAAATCCTCCTCTGCATGGAAGTTTATATGAAGCGTTTGGGGATGGAATGGGGGTGCCGAGAAGGAATCCCCGTTCCCAGACTTCCTCAGGCCCCTCACCTGCAATTCGCCTCAGCTCCTCCCTGCTTAGCTCTCCAGCTGCAGACTCATCGTCCTCACTCTTGCTCATCTTCACGACCCGATGGGCTTCCAAGTAAGTTTCTGAGAGGAGACCCTTGGGCAGGAGAATGCCAGAGTACAGATGAAGGCCCTTGAACTTGCCTGTTCACGTGATTCCCTCAGGAGTTTCTGACAAAGTCCTCTGTGCTACTTTGCTGTTGACCATTCTCTCTACAGGCCAGTGAAGAGGAAGGGGAGGAAGAGAAGAGGGGAACATTTCTTCCTTCTTTCAAGCCCCTCTCTTACCTGCACCACCTGTCGGAACCCAGAGCGCAGGATCGGCAAGAAGATGCCAGTGACACTGACGTGGTCCCCAGGCTGGGCAATCCTGGTGTTCTCTCCTTCTACCAGCACTGTGATGCTACGGGGGATGTTCCCCACAGGCACTTGGTCACTCTACACGGGAGAAGGTGCACAAGTGTGGAAAAAGGGACACGAAGCCAATGAGGACCTCACCTTCCCTGCCTGGCCTCCCACCCCTGCCTCTCAGTCTCAGATGAGCTGACTAGAGAAGGAAGCCTGAGATATTTATCCCTTAACCAAAAAGTTCCAGTTAAATCTCCCTCCTGTTCTAGGAAACTTCTCTGTCTCAGCCTCTTGTTTTTCTTGCATTCTTTCACTCTTTAAGTGACTGCAGAGTCTCTACCCTCCTTGGGCCCTGGGCCACATACCCCAAACTCACATGTTCCTGCATCTTCATTTCCTGGAATTTGATGAATTTGGAGCCACGTGTCTGCAGATATAACCGTCCTCCTGAGCGGTTGGTCTGGCACTCCTGGCTGGGGCACATGATCAGGGGCATGAAAGTAGGGGACTGGATCTGGGATGTGAGAAAGGAAACACCAAAGGAAGCCAGTCACATGAATCACACTTCCTCTTCATGCAACGTACCACAAACTGCTCAGAATGCCTTGACCTAACCCAAGTCAATAACCACATGCACCAAGAACACAAAATGGATAGAAAAACCACCGTGTACCAGAATGAAAAATGAATGCATAGTCGTGTCTGTACAACCAATGCAATGACAGATTACCATCAACAGATAAAACTCTTGAGGAAACCACAAACAATTAAGTATGTTCCTATTCCTTCTTCCATACATACCGGCTGGTAGGTCTCTGCCCCACACTGGTCACAAGTGTAAGTGGCCACCACCATTCTGGGTTTGACTTCGGAGACACGAGTGACGATTCCACGCACAGTTACCAACTTCCCCACAGAGTCAGCCCGTACTTCCCTTATCACGCGAGGCTTATTACTGCTTGGACCTTGAAAGTAGAGCTCACTAGGAGGAGAAAACAGCCATTTATTAATAAAGTCCCAGAGGACAAATTCCCACACCCTTCCCAACTGAGACCGCTCACAATCTGCGCATGAGCTCAGGAGGGTACTGGTTCTGCGGGCTTCGGGCTGCCCCAGGGTCTCGGCTCCGCTGCTCCATCATCAGCCGATGCTCAATGTAAACATCCAGGACATCTTTATTTACCACCTAGAGACAGAAAAAAATGAATGGCAGAACGAGGAAAGACCATAAACGGAACCAGGCAGAAATTACTGCCAGCTCAAAAAACACTAGTATCTGAGAAGCTTCCTGAAAGCAACCTCTGTTCCCCGCTCTGGATTTTCTGGTAACCATTCACCTCTCTCTCCTTGTACTGAGGGAGCAGCTCTTGTACAGCATCAGCAAAGAGCCTTGCGTAGCGCCTGGCATTCTCACAAATGGAGTCCACCAACTCAGGGTCGTCCTCCGCTACATCATCTAGGTCTATGTACATTGCCACTTGTTCCCGATGAGCCAGTTGAACCTGGGGTAAGAAAGAGACAACAACAGAGCCATATTTACCATGCCAGGAGCGTCCACCACCCAAAGAAGAAAGAGACAAAGCAGTGTATACTTCTCAGCCTCCAAATTCCTAAGATACTTTAATCGTTTTGCACGTAGACTTAAATTCACTTACCAGACATTAGACAGAATGCTAAACATGTCCCATCTATACTCGCTGAAACAAGTCAGGCCCACTTCTTACAGCTCCTTAAACCACCACCCATTCCCTCCACTTCATTTTAAACTCACCAACTGGTTCCCATACTTGAATTGCTTTTTGCCAAATTCATCATCCTGGTAAAACTCTTGCAGGAACTTCTTAACCTTTTCTATAAGGAAAACGTAAAATCATGAGAATCAGTTTTTCAGGTACTTTACCCAAACTCCCTTGATGCGAATCTTCTAAAAAATTCATTTCTTTACAAAGTATATGAACTAATCGGTTTACATGAGCATCTAAGTAAGTCTACTTAATTCTCCCAGAATCAGACAGAACTCCTCTTAACAAGTCTGTTTTTACCTAAGGAAAAAGAAAGGGCCCCCGGCAGTTAAGAGCATTACCCAACAACCTCCCCCCAAGGGAATTCCAGTCTCTGCCTTAAAAATCTCAGTACCCTTTCCCAAAGCTTTCCACACACTCAGATCTTAAGGTCCCCCACTTTTCGGAACAAGCGCACGATTCTCCCTCTCCTTTCGGTCTCTTAAATCTCTCCACCAGGCCCGTCCTCCACCCCACCCCCTCTCCCGCCACGGCTTCCGCTCTTAGTAAACAAAGAAGCACATGGGCCCAGATGCAGCCGCCTCACAGCCCAGGATTCCTCCGCCTAGGGCGGGAGCCCATCTGGCAATCGGCCGGCCTGTCTGCAGCCACTCCGTCCCATCCCACCACCTCCTCTCTCGGCCTCCCGGTAAGTCCCCCAATTCCAGGCACGCCCCCACCCTGAGCAACTCGCTCCAAGACTGCCGCGCGGAAGGACACTGTTTACACAGGACACTCCCTTCAGCGACGTCGCGCAACTTCCGCCCGCCTTCACTTCCGCTTGGAGGTTGGCCTAACATGGCCAATCGCCGCGCTCAGCGACCCGGACCTGCCCGCCCCCGGGACTTCGGCGCGTCCCCGGAGAACGCGGGCACTCCGAATGCCTAAGGGCGCAGATGGAAGCGAACCCGGGTGCCCGTCCCTGCGGCTTAAGGCCCTGGCACAGGGTCTCCTGAGGTCCCGGTCTCTCCTGGGCGCGACTGTCCCCCTCTGGAACCCCGAGCCGGACTGTCCGTCGCCCCCACCTCCCACGACCCCCACTACTTCCCCAGACACGATAACCGGCTCTTCTCCGAACTCGGCGACTCGTGCTCCTCCTAGGCACCGTCTGACTTGGCCCCTCCGCCTCCCGACCCTGCCTCTGGCCTTGCACGCCAAGCCGAGTCCCCCAGGACTCCAGCTCACACCAACAGGTGTTGGCTGGCTTTCCGCGTTGAACGGTCCTCCAAAGCTGGCATATCCCCACCTTTCTCGAGCACGTAGTCCTTAACTGCCATCGCCCGTGCGGCAGCAGTTGGCAAGTTCAGAGCTCTCACTCCCGGGACGGCAGAAAACCCCGCCGCTACTGCGGACCAACCGAAATTGGCGCGAAACGTCGCCCCTCACGTGACCGGCGCCGCTGCCTGTGGTCCTATCAAAGAGAAGGCCATTTGCCCCGCCCACTCGCCGCCAGCCTCAGCCTCGGCCAATTACCAGGCGAGCCTGGACTGAATTGACAGAGAAGCGGCGCGGGCAATGGGAAGGAAAGGCGGGGCGGACACCAGTTTCCCGCGGTCTGAGGTGGCGCGGGCGGAGAATTGCTCTTAAAGGGCCAGCGTACGCGCGTCCTTTTGTTCCGGAGCCGCAGGGCGGGGCAGGCCCAACTTTCGCTGTCTCCTTGCCTACTCTCCAGAACCGCCATGATCTCCCAGTTCTTCATTCTTTCCTCCAAAGGGGACCCGCTCATCTACAAGGATTGTATCCTTGACCTGCGGGGCGGGAAGGGGACCCTGGGTGGGAGTGGTGCCCCAGGGCCAGCCTGTGTCGCCGGCTCCTTAGCTGTCCTTCCACCGGGTCAGTCCGCGGGGACAGTGGCGGTCGGGATGTGGCTGAGCTCTTCTACCGGAAGCTGACGGGACTGCCCGGAGATGAGTCCCCGGTTGTCATGGTAACCAGTGGCGGGGAGTGGGGGATGCGCCTGGCGGGCGTGAGGTAGGTAGGGAGGGCGCCTCCTTCCACCCAGGGCTGTTTCCCTGAGAGCTTCTGCCTGGGGGTACGTCATGCCAGACAATGTGAACGCCAAGTTTATTAAGAGCTCTCCATGCACCAGGCACAGGCTCCTCTCGCGTCCCAATTTCCCGCAACTCCAGGGTAGGTACTAACACCTCCCCTGACTTGTTTCCCAAGGGCCCCAAGGCACACTGATAGTAAGTCTCTTGGGCCCTTAATCACAGCTCTCTTCCTAATGCTTCTTCCCCGCCTCTGCCTCAGCACCACGATGACCGTCATTTTATTCACATCAGACGCAGCGGCCTCTATTTGGTGGCAACAACTTTAGAAAACATTTCTCCCTTCAGCCTCCTAGAGCTGCTCTCCCGGTGAGGAAGGCAGGGCTGGGCACCTGGGCGCGGGGATGTGACAGGACGGGGATATGCACACTCAGGCCTATTTTCTCAGGTTGGCCACTCTCCTGGGCGATTACTGTGGCTCCTTGGGCGAAGGGACCATATCCCGCAATGTGGCTCTTGTCTACGAGCTCCTGGATGAAGTGCTGGTGAGAACCAAGCATCTCCCTCACTGCACCCCAGTCCCTGCAAATATGTACTGAGTGGGAGCCTAAGTCCATTCATTTTCACCCCTTCCCTTCACTGACCACCCACAGGCTGTCCTTCCTCTGCCCACAGGACTATGGCTATGTGCAAACCACATCCACAGAGATGCTAAGGAATTTCATCCAGACAGAGGCTGTGGTCAGCAAGCCCTTCAGCCTCTTTGACCTCAGCAGTGTTGGCTTGGTCAGTCGAGGGAAAGAGGACGATGAGGGGTGGTGGGTAGTGTCAAACCTGAAGGTTCCTTGCTTTGGGTGCTTTACAGTTTGGGGCTGAGACACAGCAGAGCAAAGTGGCCCCCAGCAGTGCAGCCAGCCGCCCTGTCCTGTCCAGCCGCTCTGACCAGGTGAGATGCATTCAGAGACCCTGATTTTTTTTCTGGAATGCCAGAGAGCAAGATCCTGGTGTTCCGGGACATGGACAATCCCTTCCCTACCCTGTGTCCCCACCCCAGGGTCCTAGCTTCCACTGGCCTGTCCTTTCTGCCTGTGCCAGGCCGCTTAGCCTCCAAATCCCCTGTCTTCTTCAGAGCCAAAAGAATGAAGTGTTTTTGGACGTGGTCGAGAGGCTGTCTGTGCTGATAGCATCTAACGTGAGTTTGGGCCCCCAGCTCTGGGACCGAGGACAGATGGCTCTTGGGAAACGTATGGGGTTGGGGAGGGGTGTCACCTTCAGGTATCTCTCTGCTGTTCATAGGGCTCGCTGCTGAAGGTAGATGTGCAGGGAGAGATCCGGCTCAAGAGCTTTCTTCCCAGTGGCTCTGGTGAGAAATCTGCAGGCTTGGCCCAGGATGGGGTTTGGGACGGGCTCCTTGGTGGGTGTGTGAATGTTGGTATTTGGTGGTCTTTTTTTTTTTTTTCTTTTTTCTTTATTTTTCTTAGTTTACTGTCAAGTTGGTTTCCATATAACACCCAGTGCTCATGCCCATCACCCCCTTTATCCTTTCCCCCACCCCCATCAGCCCTCAGTTTGTTTTCGGCATTCAAGAATCTCTCATGGTTTGCCTCCTTCCTCTCCCCCACTATTTTTCCCCTTCTCCCCCATGGTCCTCCGTCAAGTTCCTCCTAATCCTCCTATACGTGCAAACATATGGTATCTGTCCTTCTCTGCCTGACTTATTTCACTCTGCATAACACCCTCAAGTTCCAACCACATTGCTATAAATATGGTGGCCTTTTCTGATATTCTTTTCTATGACAGAGATGCGCATCGGCCTGACAGAAGAGTTTTGTGTGGGGAAGTCAGAACTGAGAGGTGAGAAGAAAATGGGTTCTTCTCTCCTAAGTACAGGTCACCACCAAAAGTTCTGTGGATCAGAGATGGGTTCTCCCCCAGCTACCACCTTGCTGCTCTTCTCACCCACGATGTGGTAACCCACTTTCCTTCCCTCCAGGTTACGGCCCAGGAATCCGGGTGGACGAGGTCTCATTTCATAGCTCGGTGCTTCTGGAGGAGTTTGAGTCTCATCGAATTCTCCGCTTGCAGCCCCCTCAGGGCGAGGTCAGGATCGGGCTGGCCTAGCACGTCCGCTGTGGGAAAGGGAGGCAAGTTCAGGTGTGAGGAGACCAAACTGACCTCCATTCCTATCTGGTTTCAGCTGACTGTGATGCGGTACCAACTCTCAGACGACCTCCCCTCCCCACTCCCCTTCCGGCTCTTTCCCTCTGTGCAGTGGGACCGAGGCTCAGGCAGGTGAGACCATTTTTCTCTTCTAGAACTTTTCTGGAATCCAAGCCAATGCATATATGTTCCCAAAGCACATTGTGAAGGGGGAGTGGTAATAGGGCACAAGTCAGAAAAGGACACCCTCCCCCCACATGGACTCAGCCCTTAGTTGAGTTGGGCTGGATTTCATCCCTTCTCTCTCCTGCCTGGGGCACAATGGACCTATGCAGCAGCCCCGCATGGAGGCCCCGGGTGGGGATGGTGAGAGGCTAGTGAGTAAGAGAACCGTCTTTTCACCCAGGCTCCAGGTTTACCTGAAGTTACGGTGCGACCTACCCCCAAAGAGGTACGAGTCAGGGGTTTCCCAGGCCTGGTTCAGGGTTGTGGGGCAGGACACAGGGCCAAAATACCTGTTGTTTTCCCCTTCGGATGTGTCCACTGGCTTCGGAATCCTGCCAGTTAGTTGCAGGAAGGCTGGGCAGGGGAACGGGGGTAGCACTTGCACTGATCCTTACTCATGGCGTTAACGAAGAGGGAGGACAAGTCACTGCCTTCCCGGAGCTTACCCTGTTCCTCTCTTCTTGGCAGCCAGGCTCTCAACGTCAGGCTGCACCTTCCCCTGCCGCGAGGGGTGATCAGGTTAGCGTTGGGGCCACAGGGCCTGGGAGGTTTTGCCAGCTTCCCTGGGCGACAGGGTGGCGGTGGGGGGGGTGGGACCCGCCTGCCCCAGGAAGGCAGGCTGACTGCAGTGCCTCTGGTCTCCAAACTCCAGCCTGTCTCAGGAGCTGAGCGGCCCCGAACAGAAGGCAGAGCTCGGGGACGGAGCCCTCCACTGGGACCTGCCTCGGGTGCAAGGCGGCTCCCAGCTGTCAGGCCTTTTCCAGGTATGAGCTGCCAAGTCCCTGAGACCCTCTCTTCCAGCTGCATGTGTAGCCCCAGCCACCCCCCTCATGCACCGGACCTGGCCCCCCTACCCTCCCTCCTCTGCCCTCAGCACCCTTTCCCGGCCTCTGTCCCTTACAGATGGATGTTCCAGGCCTCCCTGGGCCTCCTGGCCAAGGACCCTCCACCGCAACCCCTCCACTGGGGCTGGGCCCCGCCAGCCTCTCTTTTGAACTTCCCCGGCACACGTGCTCCGGCCTCCAGGTTCGCTTCCTCAGGCTCTCGTTCAGACCCTGTGGCAACACCAACCCCCACAAGTGGGTGCGACACCTGAGTCACAGTGATGCCTATGTCATTCGGATCTGAGGCTCCCCAGCAAAATTTATGGAGCCAGAGAAGGACGATACTGTCTTTTCCACCCTTCCAGCCCGTGGTCATGGACCTGGCTTAAGAGTCCTGAGAGTCCAGGGGAGCAATCCTGGTTGACACGATTGACCTTCCCGTGGTCCCTGACACAGGAAGGACTGAGGTGGATCAGAATTTATAAATCAAACTTTTATTCTGAGGAACAGGCTATACAATATCTAAAAAAAAGTAACATGGAGAAAGCAAACTATTACTTCCTTCCACCCAGCGTGTGTGTGTGTGTGTGTGTGTGTGTGTGTGTGTGTGTGAGAGAGAGAGAGAGAGACAAGAGAGAATCAGGGAGGGAAGGTTGGCAGTTGTGTGACAGCATTAAGGCGCAGGCTGAGGGGAGCCAGACCCAGGGGGCTGGGAGCCATTAGCTTTTGGAGTCCCTGGAGCTGGAGGGGGGCTATCTCCAGCTTCCTGTTTTCCCCCACAGAGGGCACTGCCCCCAAGCGGGGAAGGGGCTGAGGATGGGGCAGGAGCTGGAGAAGGATGGGAGGTGGGGCCTCCTTTGCCCTCCCCTGTAGGGGGAAGAGAGACCACGATGTACTTCTGGACACTGCCGGGACCAGAGGGAGCAGTGCTGGGGGGTGCGGTGGTGGCGGTGGAGACCAGCTTCACGATGGGCTGCACGCTGGGGACCGTGGTGGTGACGGGAGAGGTAGTGGTGGAGCCTGAGCCAGGGGCTGAGGTGCTGAGGGACAGGACCTGGGGGGAGAAAGGAAATAAGCTGCCTGGGGGAGAAGTCACCTGCTCCAGCAGAAGAGTTGATGATTTGTTCCTGTACTCAGGATGAGCAGCTATGCCTCACGGGCCTCAGTAAAGCACTCCTCTCTGCTCCTGTCTTTAGGTCCAGGGGGGACCGGACTCTCCTCTGGGGCCCCCATGGTACTTGGGAGGTAACCCTGGTCATGCTCCCTACCCTCTGTGGTCCCACCTGGCTCCCAGTACCTGTTGGGTGGATGAGGCGCTGGAGGATGAGGACATTACAATAAACTTGGTTGGAGGAGGGGAAGGCTGAGGCGGGGCAGCAGCTCGCGCAGACACCAAGGTCTGCACAGGCAGTGCGATGGAGCCAGGGACTTTCAGCAAGCCAGGTGTCCGAGGGCCAGGCTGAGGGGCCTGGGAGAGGGTCAGCGTGGGCCGGGGCTGCATGAAGAGGAGGCAAGAAGGAAATGTGAAAGTCCATGAAACGGAGGAGCACCTACTGCTGCTCCGCAGCACGTCTCACTGGTGTTGGGGAATCATCCACGAAGGGGGCTCAGACTCCCCCAAGAGTCTCACTCAGAGGGTGCAGTGTTTTACAAAAGCAAGCTCACATCTGTGAGTCCCCACCCTGAAGGGAACCATGGCCCTGTCCCCACTGCCTGCCCCCTTCCCACATGTTTCTTCACCAGACACCTCTTCCCCCCGAGTCCCTGACCTGAGTGATGGTCAGGGTGGTCCTGTTGACCTGCTGAGCCTGCAGAGCAGCCTGGGCCCGGGCCTTGACAACATGGGAGCAGAGGAGGGGCCCGAGGGACCCAAATTCTGCCCGATAGGCATCTTGATTGTCAGGTGGCAGGCGCAGCTTTGCCAGAACAGGGGCACAGTGTTTCTGCAGAGAGAAAGCAAAGAAAAGCCGGGTAGGTGGAGGGCTGGGACTCTCAGGAAGGGACAAGGAAAGGGTGAGGAAGGAAACTGCCTATTATTTCAGTCTGTTGTGTTGCAGGCCAGCTGCTGGGCTGGCAGTATGTGTGAGGAACACCGGTTTTTCTTCAGAAGGAACCCCAGGCAGCACCAGTGTAGATGAGGAACTTGCTGAAACACTTGTGATTTCTAAGGGGTGGTTGGTCCACAAGGGATGCCCTGCATGGAATGCAGCACAGTGATGGGGAAGCCTCGGGGGCGGCCCAGTCTAGGCGGGTTCACAGGGTATCAGTTATGGTCTCTTACTTCTCACTTAACCTCTCGCCTTTGTCTCTCCATCTGCACAACAGTATTGGAACATATGAGGCAAAGATGCAATGAGTGAATAAAAAGACAACTGCTGTTTACTGAACGTTGGGCCTGTGTGTTGGGGGAGGGGTGGTGGGAAGGAGTCGGGGGAGGGCAGTGATGGGGGCTCTAGTCACCAGGAGGAGGCTCTGCACATGGTCAGCTCCAATGCGGTCAATGTTGCTCAGCACCGGGCCATCCAGGACACCGCGGATCCGCTCCCCTTCCTGCTGCAGTCGTGGCAGAATCAGAGTCTTAATCACCTGTTGGAAAGGAAGGGGACGGGCCAGAGCCCTCGGGTCACCACAGATCTCATAGGTGGGGCCCCTGCCCACTAGGACCCATGACGCCTCCTTTCTGGCAGTGTTCCCCGCGCCAGGGTCTCACATCGTGTCCGAGCTCCGCAAGGCCGGCGATGGAGCCATAACGCGTGGTCCATGGAGTCTTCTCGTCCACCCAGCTCTGTAAGGGGAAGGCAGATACACCGGGGAAAAGGGCCTGAGAGGCTTTGTTAAGGAACAAACACACTTCTGTTGTGGATCATTTCGACACTAACAGATGTGGCTCAGGTTCCAGTCCCTGTCCCTGTCCCCCATCTTTCCACTGTCACTTCCTCTAGCCACACTGACCTACCTCTGGTGTGGGTGAAGCTCTTTGTCCTGGATGCCACCCTGGGATGGAGATGCGAGACCATCTGCACTCCTCCTCCTCACTCACCTTGGTAAAGGTCTTGGTGATCCGGGACTGGATGTTGTTAGTGGTAGTGCTGAAATGCTTGCAGATCTGGGCCACGAGACGGGCAGCAAAGTCCCGGAGGGCCCAGTGATTGTCCACATCTGGCCGTAAGCACAGCTGTCTGCTCACAATACATGTCATCACAGCTGGAATCAACTCATGGACCTAAGAGAGAAGTGGCGAGTTGCCAATTCTGATGAATGGCTTCCTGTCGGTGGCAACAGGGTGCCCAACCCTGGGCTGAAAGGTGGGTAGGCAGGGCTGCTCACGTATTTTTCTAGATACAGTGTGGGGTTGTCCATCAGTGCCTTCACCATGCGCATCAGGTAGATGAGCAGGGCCAGGTTGTTCTGTACCACATTCACACGGACCTGCGGGAGGGGGAAGAGAGGGGGTAGTGAGACCGTCTGATGAGCTCCCCGGCTGCCTCCTCACCGCCCAGAACCTCATCCTGGGTCCTGGCCTTCTGCCTCCTCTCACCCCCTCTGAGATGAAGGTGCTGAATCGTGGCAGCATCTGATAGAGTCCTGGGTCCGTTGCAATGCTCTGCAGCGCCTCCTGTGGGTGGGCGGGAGGGAGCAAGTGAGGGGTGGGGGCAAGGGTGGAGACCAGGAGGGATTCCTGGAACTTCAAAGAGAAGGAATGCCCTGGGCAGGGAGGAGCAGGTCTGCAGGCCTCACCGCTCTCTTGGCCTCACAGGAGCCCACACAGGCTTCGGTGATCTCCTTGTAGTACAGCTGCTGCTCCACGGACAGCTCATGGATACTTCGGGGCTTCAGTCGCAAAGGGGCCCCCTCTAGCAGGGGTGGCGCCTTCTTCTCTTTCCCTGTGTGAATAGCCAAGACAGGTTTGAAAACAAAGGCTCCAGAAAAGGCCAAGGACCAGGCTCCTCTCAGGTTTCCTGATCCTTTTTTTTTTTTTTAATTTTTAAAAATTTATTTCTGAGAGAGAGAGAGACTGCATGAGTGGGGGAGGGTCAGAGAGAGAGACACACAGAATCTGAAACAGGCTCTAGGCTCTGAGCTAGATGTTAGTACAGAGCCCATGCAGGGCTCGAACCCACGAACCGTGAGATCACGACCTGAGCCAAAGCTAGACGCTTAACCAACTGAGCTACCCAGGCACCCCCATGGTTTCTTGATCCTTTCCAGGGCTCTCTGGCCACAGGTGTCACCCTCTGTCCTGCCCTCAGCCACCTCACAAACTGCCATCTGGCAGGAGCCCCAAGGGGCCTGGCCTAGCAGTACTGACCTTTGCCGTCAGCTGGAGCAGCCCCTTGACCTTTGCCTTTCAAAGGTCCATCTTCCTCCTGGCCTGGCTTTGCTGACTTCAGGGGTTCTGTGGCCTCAGCCTTCTGCTGCTCTTTGGGAGCTGGTGGGAAAGCCGTCACGGCAGGAGTGACAAGAGTGGCAGAGGATGTAAAGGAAGGAGAAGGGACATGAGATAGAGAGGGGCGGGTCCTGGGCACAGAGGAGGTTACCTGGGGGTGGGTTCTCAGGTATAGCTGGCTGGCAGCCTTCGATGCTCAGCCAATGAGCTGTGAAGAAAGAAGGTGTCAAGTTGTACAGCTGGACACGGACACTAGGAGTCACTCCACACTAGAATGTGCTTTCTGTCCTGTCCCCACTTCTTGCAACTCCCTAGCGATCTCATACTGAGGGCTTCTTCACTTGTGAGTCTCCTCAACTCCTTTCCCTCCTCCCTGACACCCTGCTCTCCCTGCCCCCAACCTTTGAGGCAGACGTCCAGGGGCACCCGGGGCAGAGGCGTATTGATGATGTCGCTCAGGTCAACCTCCTTCTCCTCATAGAAGTAAAGTTCCCGGCCCCCACCAGAGGCGAAACGAAAAGGAATGAACTCCTGGGCATGGAAGCCATAGAGTGGCTGGATCAGGAGAGAGACAGAGACACTGAGATGAGAAGGGAGCCTGAGGCGCCATGGCTGAAGGCAAATGCAGCGTCTGGGAGGATGAGTCTCACCACCTTACTCCCCACCAATCCCGCCAACCTCAGTCCCACGTGTCCCAATCACCTCGACATTCTTGAGCTTCAGTGCGTAGTCGATGTCACTAGTGGTGAGCTTCTGCCGCTTCCCCATGTGCATGAACTTCAAGGCATCCTGGGGGTAGAGAACAAACATCAGCTCAGGAGCTGGAGGAAGAAGGGGGTCTGTAAAGCATCCTTAATACAATGTACGGCCAGGCGGAGCAGTCGGGGTACCTGTGCGATCTCCTTGATGCGGTAGCTGACCTCATCCGTCAGCAGCTGGCAGGTCTCCTCCTGGATCTGGGCGATGCCCATGGACTCAGCCACCACCTTCATCGACTCCGAGGGCAGCACAGTATTGCTGAGCTTTAGCTTCTTCTCCTCAGCCATTCTGGAGCCTCTTTCTCCCTCCCCCAAAGAGTGATACCCTGGGGTGGAGAGATGGAGATCCTGGCAGGGGGATGGGTGGGCAGAAAAGATAAAAAAAGAAACGTGAGACCCAAAGAAGAGGGCTATTCGTTCAGGAAAGGCTACAACCAAAGACTGCTGAGATGTGAGGGAAGGAACTTGGGGGGTGGGGAGTCCTTCTGTCCATCTCTATGTGAATCAGCATTGGCTGTAAAAGAAGCAGGTAGCGATCTGATCCAGTTCAACAAAATGTACTGAGCTCCAATTCTGTGCCAGGTGCTGTTCAAGTGAGATAGACAAGAATGGATACGTCCTCAATTTAAACCCTGGCCCTAGATTACTTAGCTAGGTTATTTGGGCAAGTTACTTACATCCTCCCAGCTTTGGGTTTCTTCCCAATGTGGGGCTCAAACTCATGGCCCTGAGATCAAGACCTGAGCTGAGGGGTGCCTGGGTGGCTCAGTCAGTTGAGTATCCAACTCTTGATTTCCACTCAGATCATGATCTTACAGTTTGTGGATTGGGTGTGAAGCCTGCTTAAAATTCCTCTCTCCCTCTGCCCCTTCCACCTCTAGGTCTCCTCTTTCTCTCTCTCAAAATAAATAGATAAACTTAAAAAAAAAAAAAAAAAAAAAAAAAAAAAAAANGCATCTGGGTGGCTCGGCTGGTTAAGCATCTGACTCTTGATTTTAGCTCGGGTCATGACCTCATGACTTGTGGATTCAAGCCCTATGTAGGGCTCCATTCGGACAGTGTGGAGCCTGCTTGGAATTCTCTCTCTCTCCTTTCAAAATAAACTTAAAAAAAAAAAAAAAGTCAGATGCTTAACCATCTGAGCCACCCAGGTGCACCAATGGTCCCACATTCCCCTCATGCTGCCTGACAATCATACCACCCCTCAGTGCACTCAGTCCCCCTCTGTCCTACATGGCATGACCTCTCCTCTCTTTACTCCATTAGAAGGGACCTTCACAGACTCCCACCACATCAACCTAATAGCACTGGTACCCACAACTTCTGCCTTCCCGCCTGTTACCATAGAGAAGCTGTTCATGCCCCTCACCAACTCCAACACTGCTCCCATCTTCCTGCATCATGTTTTCAACCTACCTGGCCGGTGGTTCCCGTCAGCCTACTAAATGAATGCACTTATTTCTCCTTTCTCAAGAAAACAAGGCAGTGGTCTATCTCCATACAACAGACTAGGATTCAGCCTTAAAAAGGAAGGTGATTCTGACATGTGCTAGGACATGGGTGAACCTTGAGGACACAAGGGAGCCAGAAAAGGGCAGTGTTATGATTCCACTTTTATGAAGTTCTTAGTGGAGTCAAATTCATAGACTCAGCAGAATGGGGTTGCTGGGGCTAGGGGAGGAAGAATGGGGAGTTAGTATTAACAGAGCTTCAGTTTTACAACATGAAGAGCTCTGGAGATGGATGGTGTGACGCTTGTAGAACACTGTGAATGTATTTAATCCTGCTAAACTGTACACTTGAAATTGTTTCAGATGGTGAGCTTTATGTTATGTGTATTTCACCACAATTAAGAATTTTAAATGTTACTTTCAGGGCACCTGGGTGGCAGTAAAGTGTCCGACTTTGGCTCAGGTCATGATCTCATGGTTCTCAAGTTCGAGCCTGCGTTGGGCTCTGTGCTGACAACTCAGAGCCTAGATCTTGCTTTGGATTCTGTGTCTCCTCTCTCTGCCTTCTCCTGCTCATGCTCTCATTCTCTCTCTCAAAAATAAAATCATTAAAAAAATGTTACTTTCTTCATTCCACTTTCTCTAGAAGAGCCCTGTTTTTTGGCAACCAAACACCCTGAAAGAATTATCTGAACTGTTTCTACTTCCTCTCCTCACACCTACTCCAATCAGGCTTTTGACCCCACCAGGTCCCTGAAACTGCTCAAGTCGCCGATGACTCCACATTGTGGAACCCAAGGTCTACTCTCCGTCATCATTATACTTGATCTGCTGGCAGCATCTAGTATAGCTGGACCACTCCCTCCTGAAGATACTACTCCACGGCACACTACCTTCTCCTGGCTTCTTCCTACCACACTGGCCACCCCCACTCTCTCTCAAGTTTCCTTGACAAGTTCTTCCTCTTCTCATCTGCCTAATACTGGAGTGTCCTGGGCCGTCTTTAGTCTTCTTCTGTAACTACACTTAATTCCTTTGGTAATGTCAACTACCCTCAATTTTCAGTATTGCTTATAGGCTGATGATGGCCTAATTTATATCCCCAGTCCAGGGCATTCTTCCTAACACCAGCATTGTATATCAAACTGCCGACTTAAAATCTCTTCTACAACTGAACTCCTGATCTCTCCCTCCCCACCAGCTCTGGCCTTGTTTCCTTTATCTTCGTGGCAATGCCATCTATCTAGGTACTCACTCTTTATGTGAGCCCTCAAATCAAATCAGTTAGGTGATCCAACCTGACTCCTCCACTCCCACGGCATGCCCAAGTCACCACCATGTCTCGCCTGGCTAATTCCAATAGTCTCCTGATGAGGTTTCCTGCTTCTACCCTTGCTCCCCACATCTCTTCCCAACATAGCAGCCAGACTGATTCTGTCAAAATATAAATCAAATTGGGTCACTTCTTTGCTCAAAGCCTTGGAATGGCTCCCCATTTGTCCTACAGTAAAATCCAAAATCCTAATTATAGTCGATAAGGCCCTTCATAATTTGCTCTCACCCTAATCACATCTCTGATCTCAGTTTTCCTTCCTTCTTCTATCTTGATGCAGCCTGATTCTCCTCCTGCTGTTCAAACCTCACAGGCAAGCTCTTGCTTTATGGCCTTTGCTCTCTTCCTTCTGCCTCGATGCTCTTCCCCAGATGTTAGCTTGGCTGCCTATTCCCATCACCCTATTTAATACCACACTCCAGTCCCACTCTGCTCTTTTTCCCCCCATGGTATTTAACATCTGGTAATATATACTGTATCATTTATAATTATTTGTCACCAGCACATCTTCCCTTTCCGGACCCCACCATGTGTTGTGTTCACTGATGTATTCCAAGACTCCAGACTGGTGCCCGAGCCACTGTCCTCAGTAAATATTTGCTGAATAAATCAGTGAATTGTAAGGCTTAGAGATATAGTGTACAAGACACCACTATTCTCTCGATGAACAACATATAGGTCTAAGCTCGGAAACTGCTTTGTAGCCAAAAGCAGAATGGCTCGCTTCAAGTTAGTAAGACTAAGGTCAAAAGTGTTTAGGACTGACTGTAAGGTGGGTGTTGATGGGGGTGTGCTGGAGGGGTGAGCACAGTGGGGGGGAGGGGCGAAAGAGAATTTGGTCTCCGCCTCCACGGGTTTAAGTCGTATGTTCACGGAACACATTTATTCAACACATATTCTGTGCCTGGCGCCGGGTATACAAGACGCTGTCGTGTACCAGGTCACTGGTGAACTCTTAATAATCTTTTAATACCCTCCGTACCCTCTGCCAGTAAACGGCTCCCGAAACACGCTACGGCCTCAGGAGCCCCTCAGGTCAGTGGAGTTGGCAGGAAAGCTTCACAGAAGATGGTTAACATGAGCTAGACCTGGGTAGTGGCCTCCCCAGCAAGGAAGCAAGTCGAAGGTCCCCAGGCAATGGGTACAGCGCCAAAGAAGGCACTGAGAGCCCACCTCATCCCCCCAACATCCTCCAATGCAAACACACACGTACGGAGTCCCCTCGCGCACGGACACACAACCCACCGTCCTCCTCCCGGTTCCCAAATGGGCCTTCAAAGGGCCTCGTCTCGGGTAGCACTCAGACCCGTCCCCGCCAGCCGAACGCCCCACGCATTAAAAGTCTCTCACCGCCGCCAAAGCGCCTCTCACCCGGCGCTCGGCGCCATGTTCGCCCCGCCCCCTCCCGGGAACAGGTCCTGGCAGAGACGGAAAGCAAGTCACTGCCCCTTCCCCGAGCCGGAATGAGTCTCCTAGGCTCACGGCCTGAAGTGTTATAAAAAACGGGTTTCTCTATCTGCATGTAAAGAGCACACCGTCCGGCTGCAACTAACTTCAGTTTATTCCTTCACTACCCGACAACCAGGACTCCAGGAGACGCCACAAAACCGAGGCGGGACAGCCGGGAACGCATTGAGTCTCCACCTCCTTTCGGGCCAGGACTGCGCGTGCGCCTCGGACGCCAGGCTGGCTAGAAGTTCCCGCCGACCCGTCCTCGAAATTTAAAGGGCCCGCTGCTTTTACGAAGTTGGTTTGAAGGCAAGGGGTTGTTGGTTGTGGACGGCACTTTGTCATGGGACCTGTGCGGTTAGGAATGTTGCTTTTCATTTTGGCTGCGTACGGCGTTTGGGTTGGAACGTCGAAGGAGGAGGACGATGACACAGAACGCTTGCCCAGCAAATGCGAAGGTATCTAAAGGGAGTAGTCCCTATTCGGATCCCTCTGCCCATCTCCTTAGTCTGGACCGGACCAAATGGACCGTGATGGGTGGGTCACTCGATCTCTGTGATGACCTCAGGGAGATTCTGGTGGAGCTTGGCTGAAATTGAAGGGGGTCAAGGGAGGGAACGTAGAGCGCTACCCTATGGGACTACAATTCCCATAGGACATCCAGGAGAAGCCCGCTTTTACTTACTAGAGTAGCCCCAGTGATTTGTGGGAATTGTAGTTCAGAGACTGTGTCCAGGATCTCCCACTTTACTGAGCATCTAAAGTGTGTGTTTACCCCTTGCCACTAAACCTAAGTCTGTGGAGCCTGCGGGAGCTGGGAGCGAGGCTCATACCTTTTGGACATCCTCTGCTCCACCCTTACAGAGACGCTCTCAAATTACAGGCCCCACGCTCTCCTGGGGCGGGTTTGGAGATAAGTAAATAAGCCCTTGAAGCTCATAAAAGAGAGGAGGCCACAGAAGTGGAGGTTCCCCACACATGGGAGGCTTTGCAGAGGATGTGTACTTACGGATTTTACTGGGAGCAGCATCTTACATGGCTGCACTACAGCGGTGGGGTGCGGACACTTCAGACCTGGATCATTGAGTGCCCTGGTTTCCTAGTTTGTTGCCTTCCTGACTTTAATTTCCTCCTTGGATTCTTTTCCCCTTCACCTCACTTCACACTGAATTTCAGTGTCAGTATTCTGCATGACCTGGACCTAACCTCTCCTTCATTTGTGTCCTCTGCTCTTCTCCCCACACTTGTCACTTTTCTACACACAGACCTGGTCATGTCAGTCCTTGCTGTAACACCTCTGCAGGCCTCCTCCTGTGGTCAACATACGGCCATCTTTGGCACAGTCTCTTTATCTTATGGCCCTGACCTTTCTTACATTTTGGTACCTCAACTCCTTCAAAGTGCCCATGCTTCAGCACCCTGAACTTCTCACCTGTCACTGAGCCTGTCTCATCCTCTCTGCCTTAGCACTGTTTGTCCTTTTGCCTGGAATAGCCCTCTCCCTTCTGCATTTGGTTCTTCAAGGCCCAGTCCAGATAATTCCTTTGGAAGCCTTCTTCCTTTTCTGTCACCTCCCATTATATTGTTAAGTCTGTGGAGGGAAGGAGAGTATCTGTGTCTCCAAAGTCCTGGCGTAGTGCTTGGAACATTTTAGGCACTTTTGTTACCTGCCCTGTGTTTAGTTTGCTTGTCACTTCTGTATAGGCCACTCCCTTTCTTGGGACCCACCTCATGCTAGGCCAGGTGCTACTTGCTGGAAGACAGTGGTGAAACATATACAACCCTCATCCTTAAGGAAATTATAAGCTGGTAGGAAGTCAGTAAATGACCATTCAATGAATTCTGCATTTCCTAATGAGATTAAATTTCTTGTTAACCTCTAGTGTAGGGCCCATCACAGTGCACTGTCATTATTTTTTATTTGTCCCCAGCTGCATCAGCAATGTCTTGTGGATAGGAGTCATGGGTCTTATTGCTCTCTATATTGCTGTTGTGGGTATAGGAACTCAATAAATAACTGCAGATTAAAAGCAAACACTTATGCAGTGCTCACTATATGCCAGGCGTTATCTTAGGGGTTTTTGTAGATCGATTTATTTACATCACAACTCCCCTACGTAGGAGGGAGTTATATTATTATCTCCACTTTAGAGATGAAGAAGCCAAGGCACAGCAGAATTGTCACAGAGCTATTAAGTGGCTGAGTCAGGATTCTAACCCAGCCAGTCTGGCTCCACAGTCTACACGTGTAACCATCATGCTCTGCTGCTTTTGCTCATCTACTGAATGAGTTGCTGGTATATTTGTCTTTCACATCTTTTGGACATGTAGTGTGTAAGCTGCTGAGCCTGGAGCTACAGGAAAAGCTGAGTCGCACTGGCCGATCTCGAGAGGTGCTGGAGCTGGGGCAGGTGCTGGACACGGGCAAGAGGAAGAGACACGTCCCTTACAGTGTTTCGTGAGTTCTTTTTGGTGCTCCTCTCCTTCCAACCCCTGAGGGAGCCCTGGGAGCTCCTACAGCACCCAAGGAGTCTTTGTTTCCCCTCTTCCCATAGAGAGACAAGGCTGGAAGAGGCCTTGGAGAATTTGTGTGAGCGGATCCTGGATTACAGTGTTCATGCTGAGCGCAAGGGCTCACTGAGATACGCCAAGGTCAGACTCTTCCCTAGGGCAGCATCCCACTTTTATCCCACTTTTCAGAAACAACAATGGGTATCCCCTGGGACCATCTCCCTCCAGCTCTGGAGAGTGTGACCTCTCTATAGTTAAACTCCCTCATCTCACCCTCATGGAGCTCCACTCTTGAGTCTCTAGTAGTTGACAATGCTGATATGGCAGAGAGGGGAAGAAAGAAGTGGGACAGTGGGTTGGGCTGATCCCAGATTCCCATCTCTCAGGGTCAGAGTCAGACCATGGCAACACTGAAAGGCCTGGTGCAGAAGGGGGTGAAAGTGGATCTGGGGATCCCTCTGGAGCTGTGGGACGAGCCCAGCGTGGAAGTCACATTCCTCAAGAAGCAGGTAGGATGGGATAATGCACTGCCCAAGGCAATAAGAAGGGAACCTGAGGGGAGATCTAGATCCTAAGGAGGTCCACCTCTGAGCAGGGAGAAGGGGGTAGAGTGAGGACTCTGTCATTGATTAAAGTGGGCCCAGGAGCATATCAAGGAGTAATAATAGAGGCTAATAATATCTACCAACACTTACTGAGCACCTACTATGTGTCAGATTCAGGCCCCCATACTTTCCAGCTGCTGCCTCACAGCAACCTTATGTGGTAGGTATTTATTACCATTTCCCATTTTATAGGTAAGGAGCTGAGACATAGAGTTTAATAGCCTATTTGGCAGAATAGGTGCTAGTAAATGTCTGGTGAATGAATGAGGATCACACAGCGAGTAAGCAGAGTTTAGTCTCCTGACTGCCTGCCTCTCCAAGGTGGGGTGGGTAGAAAGGGAGTGAAGAGCAGAAAGGAGGATTTCCAAAGCCCAGCAGAGCAGAGCTCCTTCTGACCCTTCCGTTTGATCAGTGTGAGACGATGCTGGAGGAATTTGAAGATGTCGTGGGAGACTGGTACTTCCACCATCAGGAGCAGCCCCTACAGCATTTTCTCTGTGAAGGTCACGTGCTCCCCGCTGCTGAAACTGGTAAGTGTATGGGGCTGGCCCCTTTCCTGCCAGGCCACAACCTCCCCTACCCCCAGGACTAATATCCACATTGTTTTCTATCACCCAAACTAGCATGTCTACAGGAAACTTGGACAGGAAATGAAAAGACCACAGATGGGCAAGAGAAGACAGAAGAGGAGGAGGAAGATCAGGAGGCGGAGGAAGAAGAGGAAGAGCAGGAAGGGATGACTGACACACCAGGGCATCCCAAGCATGACCCAGAGGATCTTTGACCCTTGCCTTTGTTTGAGACCCCAGGAGGGGCAGGGGTCTTGGAGAAGAACCGTCTGAAGTCTGAGCAATCCCTGCCCCACATAAGGGTTTGTGAATATGTGCTAGTGATCCCACCCCAGAGCTTGTAGTTATTCTCTCCTATCTGGTCTCAGGCAGGATCCTGGTGGTACAGCATGGCATGGCTATGGGGACAAAGGTGGGAGCAGTAGGGGAAGGCCTGCCCCAACAGATGAGCCCTTTGCCTGCCATCTAGCCCTTAACTGTCAGGTGTGTGTGGTGACAGTATTGAAGGCTTTCCCCTTTAAATATCTCTACTTTAAATATCTCTACTACTCCCCACCCCACCCAGAGGTCAGTGAAGGCACTGGAAAAGTCACTTTGAAAAAGTGAAAAAGTGTGTGACTTTTTCTGTGTGAAAAAGTCACACAGAAAAGTCACTTTGCCCCCTCAGGGATCTGTTTTTAGACCCTTGCAAGGAAGAAGCCAGCGAGGACATCGTCTGCGACCTACACACACACACACTGCCTGCATCTAGGAGGCTACGGGCCAACAAACTTAACGCGAGGGAGACGCTGTATCAGAATGGGGCGATGTTGATAAGTTAGGTGGGGCAGATATTCGGTCTAACTTCACCGAGGGCCCACAATGGAATATCACAGGTGCCAAATTTTCTACATCGCTAGTAAATTTTTTTTTTTAAATTTTTAATTTAATTTTTTTTTTTAATTTAAATTTTTTAAAATAGCAGCCGGGCCTGTAGTTTCAAACAACTGACCTGCATACAACATAGCTGGCCGATATAGCAGCGCCCAGAGAATAAGGCCGTTGGTCGCCGTCTGTTAGAAGCTAGTAGTGCTTGGTAATTTGCAGTCCAGTCCAGTAACTTGCAAGGAGCCCCTCTAGGCGCCAGCGTGAGAAAAAGCAGCGTGTGGCAGTGCGTCTCGGCCACCGTACTGTGGGCTTACGGGAGCTCGGAGGGGACAAAATTCCTCACTCTTTTCCGAGGGCCCGTGTTCCCACGGAATGGGACAATAATTAAAAGAAGCGATGAAACTATGTCCAAGGCCGGGAGCGGCTCCGGTTAGAATAAGGGGAATAAAGAGGATATCCTTAGAGGGTTGATGGGTGGGGACCTACCGCATAGGAGCGCGGCGACGGTCGAAGACACTGAGGGACTGCCGGGCGAGCTCACGCTAAGGGAAAATTGGACGATACCATCTACGGGCCGGGGTTGGGGCGATACCACCTTAAGGGTGTGAGGGGGTGGCAAAGAACCAAGAACTGGAAGGTGCCACTCGGCGGAGGCAGGGCGCGTGTGGGAACCTGAAGGGACTAGACAGTATCCCACACCCCGCTTTCCTTCCCCAGTCGTCCATCTCTTGCCATGAGCGGTCTGGTGCGGACCGAGCCGCTGCTCGGGGAGCCGCCTCTGCTGGTGCGCGGCGACCCCTACTCGGTGGTGGTCCTGCTGCAGGGCTACGCGGAGCCCGAGGGGGTGGGCGACGTGGTGCGAGCAGACGGCTCCGTAACGTTGGTGCTACCCCACGCCTGGGGCTCGGTCTCCGGGCACCAAGAGTCCCCGCCCGAGGGCGGCGGAGCGAACACCGCCCTAGAGGAGGCAGCTCGCGGCCCCATCCTCGTGGACACCGGGGGCCCCTGGGCCCGGGAGACACTCCTGGCGGCCCTGGCGCGGCAGGGCGTGGCCCCCGGCGACGTGACTCTGGTGGTGGGCACCCACGGACACTCGGACCACATCGGGAACCTGGGGCTGTTTCCCGGGGCGGCTCTGCTGGTCTCGCACGACTTCTGCCTCCCCGGGGGCCGCTACCTCACCCACGGGCTAGGTGAGGAGCGGCCCCTGAGGCTGGGGCCGGGGCTCGAGGTGTGGGCCACGCCGGGCCATGGGGGCCAGAGGGACGTGAGCGTGGTGGTGGCGGGTACGGCCCTGGGCACCGTGGTGGTGGCCGGTGACGTGTTTGAACGCAGTGGAGACGAAGACTCCTGGCAAGCGCTGAGCGAAGACCCGGTGGCCCAGGAGCGGAGCCGAAAGAGGGTCCTAGGCACAGCGGACGTGGTTGTGCCTGGTCACGGAGCCCCCTTTAGGGTGGTCAGGGAAGCCCCTCAGCCAACGAACTGACGTCTAGACCAGAAGACCCAGTCAGCTGAGTCGGAGGAATCGGGGTGATCACTTACAGCTCTTGCAAGAAGCCGGTTTTCCAGCAAGGACAGTCACTGATATCACTTTCTGCAACGAAACTAGGACCAAGGACTGGCTCCGCTGTGTGCCACTTCTTTGGGCCTCCGTAAAATGGGAGAATGTTCTTGGGAGAGTCGTCCAAAATAAAAATAGAAAACTGCATGGAAAATCATACAGTCCTAACATAAATGTGAATGATTAATAGTGATAATCATAAAATTTGGTACTTAGCAGCACCAGCAGCAGGGGGACACTTGGGCCAATTGCTTATTTCTCATAAGATAGAGGTTTGCTGTGAAGGCGCAGGGCTTAGAAATAACACCTTAGTCATCTGACTTTCATCCATCTGTAAGGAATATTTAACATCTGCAATGTTGCAAGCACTGCCCTAGGTCATGGGGATGCAACAGTGAGCAACCTACACAAACTCCCTGTCCCTTATGGAGATTACATTCTAGAGAGAAAAACAATTAAACAACAATAACAGTAAACCAAATAATTACAGATTGTGCTTAGTGATATGAAAGAAAAGGAGGGCAAAAGGGGATAGAGTACCAAGATGGGAACATGGACTCTTTCATTTAAGGTGGTTAGGAAGAGCCTCTGAGGAGATGATGTTTGAACAGGGAACTGAATGAGAAGAAAGCCAACCATATGAGGATCTGGCAGTTGTGCATACCAGGCAGAGGAACAGCAGGTATAAATGTCCTGAGGCAGGACAGCTTGACCTGCTTGAGCAGCAAGACTTTGGGGTTAGATCGTAGAGTGCCAGGGAAGAATGGCAACAAATGAGGACAGAGTTAGGCCGGGCAATCATGGACCACGGTTAAGGGTTTGGATTTGTACTGAAAGAGAAGCCTTGGCTATTGAGCAGGCTAGTGACTTGGTCTCATTTATGTTTTTTTTTTTTTTATTTCTAGGAGAGAGAGAGAGACAGTGTGAGCAGGGGAGGGTCAGAGAGAGGGAGTCACAGACTGAAACAGGCTCCAGGCTCTGAGCTGGCAGTCAGCACAGAGCCCGACGCGGGGCTCGAACCCACGAACCGCGAGATCATGACCTAAGCGAAAGTCGGACGCTTAACCGACTAAGCCACCCAGGCGCCCCTCATTTATGTTTTAAAGTAACTGCTCTTGGGGTGCCTGGGTGGCTCAGTCAGTTAAGCATCCGACTTCAGCTCAGGTCATGATCACACGGTTTATGGGGTCAATCCCTGTGTCAGGCTCTGTGCTGATAGCTCAGAGCCTGGAGCCTACTTTGAATTCTATGTCTCTTCTCTCTCTCTGCCCCTCCCCAGCTCATGCTCTGTCTCTCTGTAAAAAATAAATAAACACTAAAAAAAAAATTTTTTTTTAAAGTAACTACTCTTGTTCTGATAGTTCTAAAGTACTACTCTGAATCAAGTGGTCAGAGTAGGGCAAGAATAGAATTAGCTGGACTGGTTAGGAAACTACTGCAGACTTCCAGGCAAGAGAAGTCAGTGGTACCTTCTCTTCTCCCAGAAATGCTGTTCTGGCTGTGGCCCTCTTCACAACTGTGCCCCAGGCCCTCCATCCATACAGTCCCCTGGGTCGATGCTGTGGGGACAGGGCCAGACTGGGAGTTATTTTCCAGGCATGCACAAAGGCCAGGTGGAGGTCACCAAAGGTGAAAAAAAAGAGGAAGCTGCTATACATAGATCTGTAGTTGGGGTTGGCCAGTTTGATGACCACAAGAGTGCACGGTTGCCAGACCAGCAGTGCAGCCACAGCTGCCCAGATCCCTGCCAGTCATCAGATAAAGATAAATGAAGCAAAGATGGTGCTGTGGGCACCCAGCCTCAGAACTACCATGGTGTGGGGGCCCTTGGCCAGATTCCCCAGCTTCTGGGACACAGAGTACGAGGAAGGCACTGGTGTGCAGAGGGAGTGTAGGGGCCAGCCGTGGGCCTACCAATGCAGCACTGTGCCTCCGTGGCCATCAGCGGCCCCATCTGATATGTGGAGTGTAGATCCAATAGCTTCAGGGCTGTAAGGGGGATGAAAAGGAGGGGATGGGAGTTATTGAGAACTATGCACTTTCAACTTGTACAAATACAATTCCAGTCCCGACTTACTTTCCAGAACATGGTACTCTTGCCTATGACTCTGGTCTGGTCATCTAGAGCCAACACACCTCTTTGGCCACACTGACTGTCTCCAGGATGAACAGGTCACCTAAGCTAGTCCAGGCTTGGTCATCTTAGGGGTTTTGCTGGAGCTAGTGGAAAAGTCTAGTTCTTTCCTGCAAGACTGACATGGGAGATGTATGAAAGTGTTGAATCACTATATTTACATACATCACTATAGGTACACCTGAAACTAAATGCTACACTATATGTTCACTAACTGGAATTTAAATAAAAACTAAAAAAGTGAAAAGCAAAACACACTGACCTGAGAGGATAGGTCATTTGCCACCCTGTGGGAAGAGCCCATGGCACTGGGGCCAAGTGGAGGCTGAGAATGAAGCTGAACTGTAGGGGGCAGAAATGAGCAGTTAGAAGAAAGACCCTGGGAGAAATCTGAGTGCTGAATTCTAGCCAGATCCACGGCGGAACCCTTCAGTCACTGGGGCTAATCAACCCCTTTGCTGCCCGAACGGCTTTGACTGTGTTTTCAGAAAAGAGGAGTCCTGGGTGGATACAAACATTGGTGGAAATGACCCATTAGAGAGGCCTCGGGAACAGTGGGAAAGCAGCATCAGGAGGGGGGGGCGGCCCACAGTGATTGTACTCTTAGAAGTTTCTTTTAGCTTCTTTTTTGTGTAAACTCTTAGGAAAACTTGACCCATATGATTAGATACTCGTACTCGCAAGTCTTCAGTGGCTCCACATTGCAAACTGTTTTGTCCAGTCCTCTCCAAGACCAGCTCCTTGCTCCAGTTTGGCAGGACTGCCTGCTTCCTTCCAGACTTCTCTCCTCCTTCTCTCCTGCAGGCCTTTGATCCTCCTGCTGGCCTCCCTCTGTTCTGTACCATCCAGCGATCCAGGCTCAACTCAGCTCATCTACAGAAAAACTTCCCCTGATTTTTCCAACCCTTCTTCAAACTCTTGCAGTGCATTCTCTATCACTGAGCGTTAGATATACCCTGTGTTGGACACTTTTTTTCTGGAAATGTTCTCTCTGCACTGTGCCCTTTGAGAGCAGAAACTAAGAAAAAAATTACTTCTCTGAATGCTCCAGAGCTTGCGTTATGCCTGCAAATGTCATGTAATAGATACATGCAATTTTCTCAGCTCTGACTCCTTGCCCAGGACTTCAGGGTCTGTCTCTCCCCACTCTCTGGCGAAGTTCCAGGAGACTGTGCACTCTGCAAACAAAGGGGTGCCACTCAAAGTCCTCCCTGTTCACCTCTACCTACATGAGGCTCCAGGTGTCCTGCCAGAGGGCTTTGGGGCGGGACCCTAGGGTGGTATGGGAGTCGATGGGTCAAAGCTGTAGGAGGGAGAAAAACATAACAGGCTAGATAACAGGAAGCTCCCCACAGTAAGGCTGCATGAACGAGCTTATCTGAAGACAAAGAAGCCAGGATGGAGCCACAGGGCCTGACCCCACCAGCTCATCTCGGGGCCTGTCCCATGGTGGGGAAAGAAGGCTGGCAGTATCCTCAGGAGGCTGGAAGTGTTGCTCCTAACGATGAAGCCTCCAGTGACCTGGACCTGGAGCAACTCCTGGAGGATGTTGGAGAAGAGCCGGAGCAGCTGGAGGAGCCGCAATGTGGAGAGGACGCTGGGGAGTTCCCCACAGCCTTCTTTGAGGAATAGCTGTGTGCTCCTGCCTCCTGCTGCTCTCTCATCCGCTTCCAAAGGAGCAGCAGAGAGAGCCCCTCAGAGGGTCCCTGAGAAGTTGCTAAGTGTGGGATTGTCGGCTACAGGTCAATTGGCTAAAGTCACGGCTGTGCAGTTTATGTGTTAATAAAACAGGTCATCAGCTTAAGTGGTTCAGTTCATCTCTAACCACATGCTTCCCTTGGCATCTCTCCCTCCCCTCTGGTCCCTGTGGCAAGTCCCTGTTTCTGGTGCGAGGCCAGCACAGTATAGGGATCTGGGAAGGCAGTGAGACCTGAGTCCTGGGAGGAGGCCATGGAGAAGGGCAGGTCTGCGTTCAGATCTTGGCTCAGCCACTTACTAAGTGCGTGGCCTTGAGAAAAGCACTAACCATTCTGGGTCTTCTCTTTATGCCTCCAGTGAGTGGATTCAGGACCATATAAGGTTGTTGGTGATGCTTACATGAGTGATGCACTTAACAAGGCATATGGGTACATGTCGGTTGTTACTGTAGTGGAAGTAGAAAGGTTAGATTAGGGGACAGACCCTGGGCTCTGCGCTGGCTGCCAGTGTTTGGTGTCTCCTGCCTGGAGGAAGTCACTGAACACCAGCAATGGAGGAGGAATCCTGGGTGTGAGCTACTTCTTAATAGCTCAGTTTGGGTGAGAAGGAAAAGACAGAGGTGCCATCAGTTTCTCCTTGGGTGCCTTCAGGCAAATTCTACTGGTACTTTTATTTTTGTGGGCAAAGGCTGGGAAGTTGAAGAGGGAATGGAAGCAGATGGCTCTGTTTCTCTCTGATCCTGGGTGGCTTTCCATACCCACTGGCTTCTGAGCTGTCTGTGTCTGGCCCGGGTTATTACCAGAAGCTGTGACCCTCTGTGCAGCTTAGTCTCAGGGAGTCCCCATTGAGTCCCACTCACTGGGCCTTTATGATAGAGTACAGGGTTTCCTGGGGCTCTTCATGGGAGGGGTGCAGGGAGGGGCTGGAGAGGGTGAGGGAGGCATAGAGGATGCCGATGTCATCCTGGGCCTCATCTTGGGGGAGAATGAAGAAAAAGGCGGTGAGCCAGTGGAAGGGGAGTGGTGGCTGTTTCTCTCTCCCACCTCCTGAACCTCAGGGCTGGAATCTGTGTCTGCACTGCAGCCAGTTCCTCTCCAACCTCTGCCACTGAAACCTCTGCTGTCCCTCCGCCACCATCTCCCCTCCTGTCCTTCTGGGTCTGTCTACAGTGTTTCCCAAGGATCAGCTCCTGGTTCACAGACATCCCCTCCACCACCCAATACCATCCTGGGAGGTCCCATCATCGACAGGGACAACCCTCTGAACACACGGGACTCCTATGTCCCCCAAACTCTAGTGACCTTCACTCCACTCAACCATACCGTGGACTCTTAATCCCTGGGATTGAGAACTCTGAAATATTAAATGCCAGTGTCATTTTTATGCTACAATTTCCTTTCTTTCCAGCTCTCTTTTGCCATCAGCCTGTTTGCTATATCTGTGCTTTGACCTCATGAACTCTTGTCCTTAATAATCTACTTTCTTTCGAGCTGTTCAAGCTCCTTGCTGATCTTCTACTCTCTACTCCTGCCCTTTCACTAGCCCCCTGACTGCCTGTGTTCCCCTATCCTTATGTCACACTTAGCTGACACAGCTCTAATTCCAGATGTGGCTGATGGCAGGGAATGCTATTTGCATATATCCATTCATTTCATACCTTTTTAAAAAATTTTATTTTTAAGTAATCTCTATACCCAACATGGGGCTCAAACTCACGACCTCAAGCTGAGTTACCTGCTCTACTGACTGAACCAGCCAGGCGCCCCACCATTCATTTCTTCTTACTCAGTTACAGAACCTTGATTTCATTTGGGGTGACAGTGTGCTGCCCTACTGATAGATGTGGGCCATAGGACTACATCCTAGCCAGTAAGATTCAGGAGGATGTTGTGGGTAGGATTTTCAGGAAGACTCTTTATTTATTAATTAATTTATTTAATGTTTTATTTTTTTGAGAGACAGAGTGGGGACAGAGGAGAGGCAGAGAGAGAGGGAGACACAGAATCCAAAGCAGGCTCCAGGCTTTGAGCTGTCAGCACAGAGCCAGATGCAGGGCTCAAACCCATGAATGTGAGATCATGATCTGAGCAGAAGTCGGATGCTCAACCAACTGAGCCACCCAGGCGCCCCTCGGGAAGACTCTTTAAAAGGAGGACAGATAGGTGTGGCATAGTCTTTTTTTCTTTTCTTCCTTCCTTTTGTTTCCTGTCTGGATTCAGAAATAATGGCCGGAGTCTAAGCAGCCATCTTGGATCATGAGGCAACATTCAGGAAAGAATCCAGTAGCCAGGACAGGAAACAGGAAGATAGAAGCCTGAATCCTAAGGACAGTGGCCTGATATCTGCTTCCTCATCCTTTTATATGAGGGAAAACAATAATAGCAGTTTTATTTAAGCGCTGTTACTTTTGGTCTCTGGTGCCAACAAGTGAACATAACTCCTAATGAACAAGTACCAGAGGTTTCTTTTTTTTTATTTTATTTTTATTTTTTTTTAATTCATTTCTGAGAGAGAGAGAGAGAGAGAGAGACAGCGTGAGCAGGGGAGGGTCAGGGAGAGAGGGAGACACAGAATCTGAAACAGCCTCCAGGCTCTGAGCTAGCTGTCAGCACAGAGCCTGATGCGGGGCTCTATCCCACGAACCCTGAGATCATGACCTGAGCCAAAGTCGGACGCTTAACCGACTGAGCCATCCAGGCGCCACAAGTCCCAGAGGTTTCTAACCTGCATGGGGAAAAACATGATCATGTGCGGTGATGCTTTTACAGAGTTTATGGCTTCTCATCTGCGTTGAAATCTTAAATACTGTCTTCCATTTCCTCAGTGACTATGTCACATTTTTCTTCATCTCCAACCCTCATCCTCACTCTAGAGACAACCACTGATCTTTCCTCTGCAAAATTAAAAACACTTTGTATATCATTGACTTCATCAATATTTTTATTCATGGCTCTTAGGTTTTATGTCATATTTAGGGAGATCATCTCCACTTCATGGTTATAAAATAGTCTCACATGCTTTCTTCTGGTGCTAGGCTTCTTTCCCCTCATTAACTCTTTGGTTGATTTCCATGGAATTTATTTTGGTGCAAATTATGAGATAACATTATTTTCTCAGATGGCTGTTCAATTGATCCCTCACCAGGTACTGAATTACTCATCTTTCCCCATTCATTAGAAATGCTAGTTTTTAACCTACTAAAATCTCATGTGCATTTGGGTCTGTTGTTGTCCTGTCTGTATTTGGGATATTTTCTTTTGTTCCATTGGTTTATCTGTGTATTAATATGACAACATCGAATCATTTTCATTATTGCAGCTTAATAATTACAAGCACTAGTGCTACATAGTCCTTATTCTGTGCCAGGATCTATTCTTAATGAATTTCATTTCATTGTCACGACAACCCCCCAGGGTGAGGACTATTATTATTCTCATTTTACTGATGAGTAAGCTGAGGCACAGAGTAATACAACCATTGCACCAGAGATTCCCCAGCCAGGATTTGAGTGCAGGCAATCTAGAGTCTATGCTGCTCACCTCTGCGCTTTAATATCTGATAGGGCTAATCTCCTCTCACTGAAATCTTTCTTTAGAGGAATTTCAAATCAGTATTGGAAGGTGTTGGGGGTGTAAATCATTAATGTCTCTAGCCCTGTCCTCTCTTTCAGCTATCAATGCATATATCCAAGTTCCTGATGAACATCTCTGCTCAGATGCACATGGGTATGTCTAACATGTCCCCCGCTAAGGAATCATCATTCCCCTCCAAACATGGTCTTTGACCTCCTGTGTTCTCTAATTTGCTGGGTGGTTTCATCCAAGTTCTTCCCACTCCCTTGACCCCTATACCAGCCTGATCACGAGTCCTACTGATTTTCTCTCTTGAACTCTTCCCAGGTCTGGCTCTCTCCCTCCACCCACACTGCCACTGCATTAGACTGGTCTGGTCCACCTTGGGCGCCTCCACCCCAGACTGATGTATCTGCATGGCAAACTGCTTCATGTTGCCTCTGGGAGCAGAGGCTCTTGGGTGTGATTTAGGAGGTTCTCTTCTCCCATCTCCAGCCTCCTGACGGCACGGAGCTGCTTAGAGTTCCTCCACTGCTTTCCCATGCCTGAATGGACAGTGACCTCTTCACCACCCTCACCAGTTACCTGGCTAATTCTATTATACTCTTTGAGACTTTTTGTTGTGTCACTTCCTATAGGAAGCTCTCTGTGATTCTCCTCTGTCCCAGACTACCACAGCCCTTTCTAAATGAGGCAGTCACCCCCTTTCTTCTACCTCTGTCACTGAGTTCCTTGAAAGCAGGACCTAGGTTTTATTCACATTTATATCTCCAATTGTAAGCCAGACCTTGGGGGCATCTGGGTTGCTCAGTTAGTTAAGCGTCTGACTTTGGCTCAGGTTATGATCTCATGGTTTGTGAGTTTGAGCCCTGGGTTCTGTGCTGACAACTCTGAGCCTGGAGTCTGCTTCAGATTCAGATTCTGTCTCCCTCTCTCTCTGCCCCTCCCCCATTCATGCTGTGTTTCTCTCTCAAAATTAAATTTTAAATATTAAAATTATATATATATATGCCAGAGCCAGGCCCTCAACCAATGCTTGCTGAGCTGAACCAACTTCCTTTCCCTTCTGCTCTCTCCTTACTCTTCCCAGGGCTGACCTTCCCCTCCCCATGAACCAAAAGTTGAGAACTGATGAGAAATGATTAAGAGACAAAAAACTAGAAAATGATCAGATTTGTGGGGAGGGATTGGTCTGGAGCAGCGGTTCTCAAACTGCATCACACACAGATACCACTTGATAAGACCTTTAGGAATGCAGACTCCCAAGCCCCGACCTCAAGCCCTGCAGGGATCTGCATTTTCTTTCTTTCTTTCTTTCTTTCTTCCTTTCTTCCTTAAATGTTTTATTCATTTCTAGGAGAGAGAGAGAGACAGCGTGAGCAGGGGAGAGTCAGAGAGAGAGGGAGTCATAGACTCCGAAACAGGCTCCAGGCTCTGAGCTGGCAGTCAGCACAGAGCCCGACACGGGGCTCGAACCCACGAACCGCGAGATCATGACCTAAGCAAAAGTCAGACGCTTAACCGACTAAGCCACCCAGGCGCCCCTGCATTTTCTAACCTGCACCTGCGGTCATTCTGAGGCAGATGGGTTCTAAGAACCACTCTAGGTGTGGAGGTTGGTTGGGGGCGTGGCCCAGAATAACTTACCTTTGCTTCTCTTCCACCAGAGGCAGGCAACCAGTCCCAAAATTGCAGTTTTGAACACAGCAATGGGCAGTGCCACCTTGACCACGGTTTCCATACTCATGTCCTTTGTGATGGTGGTGACAGCCACCAGTGTGGTGGTGGTAGGGCCCTCAGTGGTCATCTGGGCAGCTGAGAAAACATGAGAATTTAGCAGATTCCGCCTCAGAGGCCTGGAGATAGCTGGATGAAACTGTTAAACCTTGTTCCCTAGGGTGGGGAATGTTAGGGGGAGCGACTCTGAAGCGCTCACATAGGGTAGGATGATGAATCCACGTCACTCAGCTTAAATCTTGACTCTACCTCTGATTCGTGGTGTGACCTCAGAACCTCATTTCATCCCTGACAAACAGGGATCACTAAATCCACAGGGACAAAAAATACTTTCTATTGTAAAATATATGTAACAAAATGGACCATTTTAGCCGTAAGTGTATAGTTAAGTGGTGTTAAATTTCTTCATATTCTTGTTCAACCATCACCGCTATCCTTCTCCAGTTTTTCATTTTCCCCAAACTGAAACTCTGCATACCCCTTAGACATTCCCTGCCCCCCACCGGCCCCACCACTGAGACCCACTGTTCTGTAGAGGCTGCTTTTAGACAACAGGCTTGAGCAATGGAGACTGATCAAGGCAAAAGGGCCCACATGGATTCCCTGGCTGAACACAGACAGACCTATCAGGTGACCTCAAAATGTCCATAAGCCCTAACTGACCAATGGGCTACTTACAACCAGGCACAAGGGCCCAAAAAAGGGAAAATTCCATACATCGCCATACCTCCTCACCTTCCCCGCTTTCAAAACGGCTCCTACCCGTTGCCTTGCTGCAGACAGCCTCTCCTCTGCTGTCCTGTCTGCTGCTCCCTTTGGGTGTCGTCAGTAAAACTTCTATCACCTTTGTTCTGCCTTGGGTGCATCCTTTCACCTGCCTGGGCCACCTACTTCCACCAATCATCCCCCCATATTTGGGGGCCCCGGTCTGATTGGAAAAACACCACATGTTTTAGTCTGTCTCTATGATTTTGACTGATCTAGGGACCGACCTCTTACAAGTGAAAACTAACAGTATTTGTCCTTTTTCAGGATTGTTCTAATCAGTGAGAAAACATCTGTGAAGCACCTCTAATTTATATTGTAATGTATTACAATTTTTAATGTTTTATTTATTTTTGAGAGGGAGCGAGAGCGAGAGAGAGAGAGAGAGAGAGAGAGAGCATGAGCATGAATAGGGGAGGGACAGAAAGAGAGGGAAACAGAATCCAAAGAAGGCTCCAGGCTCTGAGCTGTCAGCATAGAGCCTGATGCAGGGCTCTAACAAACCGCAAAATCATGACCTGAAGCAAAGTCAGACGCTTAACCGACTGAGCCACCTGGAATGTATTTTTAAGGTTAAATTAATAAAGACTTACAAACAGATTGTATTTTCTTTTAATAGACCATTAAAAAGTTGACCAAAGCCAAAGGAAAAAATCCCATTTGAATAAAATCTTCAGATAAGTGTGGACCAAATTCACTATCCACTCTTATTAGAAATGAAGAATAAAAGTGTAAATACCATCCCTCAATTGAGAATTAAAACATTTTTAAATTTCTTAATCAGGGGCACTTGGGTGGCTCAGTCAGTTAAGTGTCCAACTCGGCTTAGGTCATGATCTCCCCGTGGGAGACTTCTGTGCTGACAGCTCAGAGCCTAGGGCCTGCTTCAAATTCTGTTATCTCCCTCTCTCTCTAACCCTCCCCTGCTCATGCTCTGTCTCTCTCTGTCTCTCAAAAACAAATAAATGTTAAAAAAAACATAAAAACTTTGACTCACAGGTAGTCAGAGATGAAATTGAGAACACCATTAACTCCCTTTTATAAAGATTCTAAGCTCAGAAGGTTTTATGAGTAAACTGTTGGAAAAGTCAAGGAATAGATAATTTCTAAACAGAAGGTTTCAGAACACAGAGAAATGGAAAACTTTGTAATTCTTATTTTTATTTTTTAAATTAAAAAAATTTTTAATTTTTATGTCTTTATTTTATTTTGAGACACAGAGGCAGAGAGCGAGGGGCAAAGAGAGAAGAAGACACAGAATCCGAAGCAGGCTCCAGGCTCTGAGCTGTCAGCACAGAGCCCAACGTGGAGCTCAAACACATGGACTGTGAGATCATGACCTGAGCCGAAGTTGGACACTCAACTGACTGAGCCACCCAGGCACCCCCAAAATTTTTTTTAAGTTTATTTATTTTGAGAGAGACAAAGACAGAGTGAGTGGGGGAGGAGCAGAGAGAGAGGAAGAGAGAGAACCCTAAGCAGGCTCCACAGTGTCAGAACAGAGCCTGATGTGGGGCTTGAATTCAGGAAACTGTGAGATCGTGACCTGAGCCGAAACCAAGTGTCAGACGCTTAACCAACTGAGCCGCCCAGGTGCCCCCCAAATTGTTTTTATTTGAGAGAGAGAGAGAGAGAGAGAGAGAGAGAATCTTAAGTAGGCTCCACACTCTGCATGGAACCTGATATGGGGCTCAATGCAGGACTCGATCTCATGACCCTGGGATCATGACCTGATTCCAAATCAAGGCTTGGAAGCTCAACCAGCTGAGCCACCTAGGCACCCCAATCTTTGCAATTCTAAAACACTTTGCAAATCTAAATCTTATAATATGAGAACACTGAGGCTATTCTGAATAATTTTTTAAAAATACAGATTAAAATAAGAAGCCAATGGGGGTGTTATTTACTTGTTTGTTTTTACTGATCCAAGTGGAGGGACATACCCAGTATTGGCACTATAGGAAAATGGATAGGTTGGCATTGCCTTTGGGAATATCTATCAAAATGCAAAATACCAAGGCATGCTCTTTGACCCAGTGATTTCAGTGCTAGGAATTTATCCTGTGGAAATACTGGGCAAGTCTTCAAAGGCCTGTGTTTCAGGGTATTTTTTGCAGCTTTGTGTTGTGGCAACAACCTAAATGCCTTTTTTTTTTTTTAGGTTTATTTATTTTTGAGACAGAGAGAAGGCATGAGCGGGGGGTGGGTAGACAGAGGGAGAGGAAGAGAATCCCAAGCAGACTCCACACTGTCAGCATGGAGCCTGATGCAGGGCTCAAACCCAAGAACCCTGGGATAATGACTTGATCCAAAGTTGGACACTCAACCGGCTGAGCCACCCGGGAGCCTCTAACCTAAATGTCTTTATATAGGAGACTTGAATAAGTGCATTATGATACATTACTGCAAAGGGACACCCTGCAGTCTTTTTAAAAAACACGTAATTGGAGGCATTGGTGGCTTAGTCACTTAAGCCTCAGACTCTTGATTTCGGCGCAGGTCATGATGTCACAGTAGGTAGTGAGATTGAGTGACTCTCAGACTCCACGTTGAGTGTGGAACTTGCTCAGGGTTTTCTTTCTCCCTCTTTCTGCCCATCCCCCACTCACACTCTTTCTCTCTAAATAAATAAACATTAAAAAAATTCTTTTTATTACTTTCCTGTATTTTTAATATGAGCATAAATATCCAATTAATTGTATTAATTGAAAAATTAGCTTATTAATGAAAAACTCATGGTAAATGTGACTGAACTGAAAGATGAGGAGAGTTAGGAGGATCAGGGAAGGAGAAAGAGGGGTCTGAAGAAAGCAAAAACCTCTCAAAAAAGGCCATTTAGTTGGAAGTCCTAGCCTCAGCAATCAGACAACAAAATGAAATAAAAGTCATCCAAATTGGCAAAGAGGAAGTTAAACTTTCACTTTTTCCAGACAACATCATACTCTACATGGAAAACCCAAAAGACTCCACCAAAAAAGCTGCTAGAACCGATATATGAATTCAACAAAGTCACAGGATGTAATCAATGTACAGAAATCAGCTGAATTTTTATACACCAATAATGAAGCAACAAAAAGAAAGAAATTGATCCCAATTACAATTGCACCAAGAACCATAAAATACTTGGGCATAAACCTAACAAAAGAGGTAAAAGATTTGTATGCTAAAAACTATAGAAAATTCATGAAAGAAATTGAAAAAGACACAAAGAATTGGAAAAAACATTCCATGCTCATGGATTAGAAAAATAAACATTGTTAAAAATGTCAATACTGCCCAAAGTAATCTACACATTCAATGCAAGCCCAATCAAAATTGCATCAGCATTCTTCTCAGAGCTAGAAGAAACAATCTTAAAATTTGTATGGAACCAACAAAAGACTCCAAATCGCCAAAGTAATGCTGAAAAATAAAACCAAAGCTGGAGATATCACAATCCCAGACTTTAGCTTCTACTACAAAGCTGTAATCAAGACAGTATGGTGTTGGCATAAAAACAGACACATAAACCAATGGAATAGAATGGAGAACCCAGAACTGGACCCACAAATGTATGGCCAACTAATCTTTGACAAAGCAGGAAAGAACATCTAATGGAAAGAAGATAGTCTCTTTAGCAAATTGTGCTGGGAGAACTGGACAGCAACATGCAGAAGAATGAAACTGGACTACTTATACTATACACAGAAACAAACTCAAAATGGATGAAAGGCCTTAATGTGAGACAGGAAACCATCAAAACTCTAGAGGAATAAACAGGCAACAACCTCTTTGACCTCAGCAGTAGCAACTTATTACTCAAGATGTCGCCAAAGGCAGGGAAATAAAAGCAAAAAAGAACTATTGGGACCTTATCAAGATAAAAAGCTTCTGCACAGCAAGGGAAACAATCAACAAAACTAAAAGGCAACTGACAGAATGGGAGAAGATATTTTAAAATGACATATCAGGTAAAAGGCTAGTATCCAAAATCTATAAAGAACTTACCAAATTCAACACCTGAAAAGCAAATAATCCAGTGAAGAAGTGGGCAGAAGACATGAATAGACACTTTGCCAAAGAAGACATCCATATGGCCAACAGACACATGAAAAGGTGTTCAACATCACTCATCATCAGTGAAATACTAATCAAAACCACACTGAGATAACACCTCACCCCAGTCAGAGTGATTAAAATTAACAACTCAGGAAACAACAGATGTTGGCAAGAATGTGGAGAAATGGGAACCCTCTTGCACTGCTGGTGGGAATGCAAAGTGGTGCAGCCCCTCTGGAAAACAGTGTGGAGGTTCCTCAAAAAATTAAAAATAGAATTACCTTATGACCCAGCAATAGCACTACTAGAAATTTATCCAAAGGATACAGGAGTGCCTGATTCATAGGGGCACATGTACCTCGATGTTTATACCAGTGCTATCAACAATAGCCAAATTATGGAAAGAGCCCAAATGTCCACCAACTGATGAATGGATAAAAATGATATGGTGTGTGTGTGTGTGTGTGTGTGTATATATATATACACACACACACATATACATACATACATACATACATATATATACACATACCATACCTTCTTTATCCATTTTTATATATACATACACACACACAATGGAATACTACTTGGCAATGAAAAAAAATGAAATCTTGCCATTTTTAACAACATGGATGGAACTGGAGGGTATTATTCTAGGTGAAAGAAGTCAGCCAGAGAAAGACAGATATCAAATTTTCACATATATGTGGAATTTAAGAAGCTTAATAGAAGACCATGGTGGAAGGAAAGGGGAAAATTTTGTTACAGAGAGGGAGGCAAACCATAAGAGACTCTTAAATACAAAGAACAAAATGAGGGTTGATTGGAGGGGTGCAGGGTTGGGAGGGGAAAATGGGTGGGCATTGAGGAGGACACCTGTTAGGATGAGCACTGGGTGTTATATGTAAGCAAAGAATCATGGGATCTACTCTGATAGCCAAGATCATACTGTATACAAGGTATGTTAGCTAACCTGACAATAAATTATACTAAACAAACCAACAAACACAAGGCCATTTAAGGGAATATGAAGGAGGTGCCAGAAATAGAAATCCAAGGCTGTCTTGCTAAATTCAGGCTGTGAGCCACTTTCTATTTGCTCTGAAACCAGCACGGTGGTCAGATGGGGCAGTGGTTTACCAAGGGTGGGAGCGTGGAGAGTGTCCTTCCTGCCAGGAGCAGTGATACGTTGTCAAAATTGCCAGCGCAAGTGACTGTAAAAAGTAAACCTAGGATTTTTAGTTTTCAAGGAATTTTCTACAGATAATATTCTACAAACAGTGCATCCCCTAGTGCCTGCTCCTGGGAGAGGCTCCCTCCCCAGCTGCTCTGGAGACAGACAAACCTAAGTTCAAGTTCCCAAGGCCGCTGCATAACATGGGAACATCTGTTACTGTAACCCATCCCGTGATTTGGTGAAAATAGGTGAAGACAACAATAAGAGCAGGTCAGCTGTGAGGCTGAGCAGCTAATAGGTTAAGAGTGGAGGCTCTGGGGTCAAAGTGGGTTCAAGTCCCATCTGCACCATGAGTGTGACTTTGGGTAGGCGTTTAGGCTTTTCGAGGCTCACTTTCCCTATCTGTAACAGGAAGACAACAGCAGTGCCAGCCATTACTGTGGGATTGTGGGGAAGGTTGTGAACCAGGGTGATGTACACCTAGTTGTTCAGCCCGAGACAGTGCGCGGTAAGCAGCCGCCGCCATGTTTCTGCTGTAGATGCCACGTCTACATGCCAGGATGGAGGAGCAAGATTGAAGTGGACAGTGGGGACAGTACAGGCAGAGGTAGGGACTAGGGATGGGGGGAGACAAGGAGTCAGGGGGCAGAGAGGTATGGGAAAGGAGAGGAGGGAAGGGGCTGGGGTAGGAAGCACCGTGGGCCAGGTTCTGAGGAGCAGAGCAGAAGGACTCCGGGGTATTGGAAAAAGAGATAATGGGGCGTTGCCAGGGAAGAGGGGTCTTGGGTCATGATTGGGTACCTGCTGTGTGTGCTGGGCTGAGCCTGTAACTGTGGGGAGACACAAGACTCGGGGCTGGCTGGGGTTGTTCACAGAGACACACGACAAAGGGAAGGCAGACACATGCCCTGAAGAAGTCAAGTCCACCTGGACAGCGTGGGGTGAGGGGAGGGAGGCAAGGCTGGAGGCCCAGCTTGGAGCAAGAGGGAGGATTACTGGGTAGCCTGGAAGGTGCTGAGGCTGGGGGAGTAGGGGTGGGGACTGGCTCTGGAGGGGGCAGTGAGGGGGATGGGCAAGGAAGGCAGCCAAGATCTGGGGAGATTGGAGAGAAAGAGTAAAGTTGGCAGAGGCCTGGGGAGGGCGGGGGAGAGGAGTTTGAGAGAAGGGACAAGCAGGGAGATTGGGGCCTGGGCCAGGCCTGGGGGACGAGGGCACCGTGCAGAGGGGGTGTGGTGGCTGCCGGGCAGCTGGACTCACCATCAGTGATGGTGAGTTTGGTCCCCGGGATGGACTGCCACACCTGCCAGCCATCTCTTAGCGTTCTCACTTGGACCAGGCAAAAGTACCTATTCTCATCTTAATTCCGAAGGTTCAATATACACAGGGCACCAGAGTTCTGACCGTTCAAGTCCAGGGCGATCCGGTTCTTGTAATCCTCATGGATAAAAGGCACGGTACTGTTGTAGATGGTTTCTCCATGGAACTGTGTCCTTCTCAAGGCTACACTCAGTCTGGGATCCATGGCTAAGTCCCAGCAGTGGAAGTAGGAGAAAGAGATGCAGATGGAGCCACCCTTGGGGGCTGAGAGAGACTCTGGCTGCTTGACCCCAAAGTCAGTTTTTGGATTGCATGCTTCTGAGCTGCCTAGAGGAGGGAGAGGAGAGACTTTGGGCCATCGGGAGAGATGAGGAAGATAACCCAGACCCTCTGGCACACTCACCCACAGGCACTAGTGTGACAGATGGCAGGACTGGCCCTCTGGCCTGGGTGTCCCCCTTGCCAGGCCTGGGGTAGAGAGGAGGGTGAAGGGTTGGGGAGGACCTGGCACTATGGGACCAGCCCCCTGGGGCTAGGAGGCCTGGTCAGCTACCCCAGCAGACCCCTTCTCCAGCTGCACAGCCACAGCCCTTCCCGGGGACTCTCCGGGCCTCACGGCAGAGCCAGGGTGTCCCAGACACTCACCAGCCTGCAGGGATACTAGCAGCAGCAGCAGCAGCAGCAGGGGCAGCAGCAGGGACAGACTCATTGCCTCACTCTCCTCCCAGCAGAGGAGAAGCCAAGTAGCTCTGTCAAGGCCAGAGGGCAGGTCCTACGGAGGTCCCTCCTCGGGGAGTCCAGTGGAACATGAATCAGCCTCCTTCAGGAGAACAAGAGAGGGTGAGCTTCCCTAAATTCGCCAGCCCCTGGAGTAATCAGCACTTCCTTTATCACTCTGCTTTCTTCTTTTCCTACGTTGCACAAGCGCCTCCCTTGTGGTCAGCGCACAGAGAGCCATGAGAGAGGCCCCCAGCCTCTTTCTTCACATAGTGGGCCATGGTTCTGACCATGGCCATCTGTGGGCTCTCTCTTCTACCTCAGCTCCTGGCCACCTCTCCTCAAGAGTCAGCCTCTGTCTCTCCAGCTCTCCTTCTGACTGGCTCTCTGGGTGTCTCCCAGCTTCTGTCTGTCATCCAATTAAAGGCACTGAAGCTGGGCCAGCTTTGGCTCTTCCAGCCAGAGGACGGGCAGCAATGAGACTCTGCCCAGCTAATGCCCCCTCCCCACAGAGGGAAGGTGAAGAGACCCACTGGTGGACAGATGGCCTTAACCCCAGCACCAGGCACCAAGGACACCCAACTTGGGCTTGGCCCCTCTCCCTCCCAGCAGGGGCTCCCCTGCGCAGGACCCAGGTCTACCAGGCTCCTTCCCTCCCCTGGTCAGCTCCTTTTGTGCAGTCTCACAGAGTCACTGGGGTTAGGAGGTAAAGGAGGGCCTTCTGGAGGCCACGCCTCGACCCACAGGAGGCAAGACTGGATCTACAGGCCCCTGTGTCCTCCATTCCACAGTTGAGGAGACCAAGGGCTCAGAGAAGCCCTGCCCCAGGTCATGTGACTCTCAGGTGGCAGGTCCTGGACTCAAACTCCAGTCTTGCTGAGTCCACAGAGCCTTTTGGATATTCCCACCAAGTTGCACCATGCAAACTTGAGCCTCAGCTCAAGAGTTCTGGGGGGTGAGCCCCAGAAGGCCTTATTTTTGTAATGCTCCTTAGGTGATTCCCTCCACAGCTGTGAGAGCCCTGGCTAATCTGGGGCCTTTCTTGACCAGAGGGGAAAATAAAGCCCAGAGCAGTAATGAGTTACCTTTTGACAATCCATGGACTGTCTCCAACTGAAGGCACTGCCAGCCTGTGACTGTTGGTGGGTGGGGGCAAGACACGAGCTGAGACCATTGGTGACTCTTTGTACCAGTTTCAGGAGGCTTGGCTCCCTCCCTCTCCAGAATGAGGTTGGCACTGGCTTACTGAGTAGATGGTGAGGATTGGAGAACATGATTTCATCACAGGAAGTGGCCTCATCTTCTGGAGGTGGAAGCAAGAAGACCAACTTCCTTTCTCCATTGCTTCCTGAGTCCTAATTTTCTCCCACGCTTCTCCCAGGGCCTTCCAGGAAGCCCCTGCCCTGTCCCTGTGTCTGCATTTCTTACACCTCCTCCCAGGCCCCAGGAGACAGGTTCTGCATTTTCACGGAATCCCCTTCTCTGAGGCAGGCCCTAAACATCCATTGCCTCATCTAGATTCAGCCCTACAACACTGTGTGGTGGATTTGTTGTTTCTCTATTTTCACCATCAGGAAACTGAGGCACCATCAGGAAGCAGCCTTAATGACATGGAGTCCACTGGGCTGTGAAAGATGCTTGGGTGAATGGTAACAGCTGGAAAGGTGGACAGAAGAGAGGGACTGACTGCCTTCTTGGCAGCTCCTCTGTGGGGTGGCCTGCCCTGTCAGAGGAGTGGCACGTGAAGTTTATTCCCACCTTGCCTCACTAGCTGTGGAACCTGGCTGGACAGTCTCCTCTTTGCCAGGTCACCCAAGGAGGGGATGGACCCTACTAGGCGGTGCCGCGGCCCCTTCTATTGGGCAGCAGGGCATGTTTACTCAAAGGCTCTGGGTCACTTTGGCAGAGTACCTGTCACCTGGGTGCCTCAGGCCCTGCTGCTCCCACTAGACGCAAGCTGCCCATTCCACGTCATGTTCAAGACCCTGGACCCAGTGGGATCCCTGTGAGACTTGAAATTAGGAGGCATGATTTCTGCTCACAGATGGTGTGTGGTCTTGTTCATCCTCCCTTGTCCCAGTAGCAATCAGAGGGCCCTGTCATCAGCTGAGCTGTGGCTCTACTCACAGAGGGGCTTCTGGGAGAAGGAGGGCCTGGTGTGTTGTGATTCATGGATGGGCAGAGCCTAAATGCAGCTCTTTAGCCCGGGGGGTGTCCATGGGGGAAGGTTCTGAAGCAGTGTGTTCAGGAGCAGAGTGAGGGCTATGAGCTGTGGACCACAATCTGAGGATACTGCCTTAGTCTACCTCCAAGTTATCCTAAGTTTCTATTCTCCCTTCCTCATTCATGTCCATCACTGCCCCAGTCCCCCGCTCCATGGCACCTCACCCTGCTCCTGCTTTCCCCCCAAGACCAGGAACAAGGCAAAGATGTCTGCTCTCACTACTTCCATTCATTGTGATGGAGGTGTAGCTCATGGAATAAGGTAAGACAAAGATAAAAGTGTTCTGTGTTTTCTTAGAATCTGTATTTACGTATTTGGCATTCATTCATCACATGGCAATTGTATTAACTTTTTTTTTTTAATTGTCTGCACTCTTCATGCTCTGGCACTTGTGGCCTTGGGGACTGGGAGAGATGGCCCCTCCCAAGGCTAGCCTATTCTTAGATCTTGGGAAGGGCTTTCCCATAGTTTCCATATGCATATGCAAACTAATCCATGGGCTCGTACTCTAAACCACTTTCTTTGACTTTCACACACCAGGGCAATATTTTCTTGCCCTGATCAACCCTGTGCTGGGTTCTAGGCAACTAGAGATAGTACTTGTAGCCCAAAACCCACCAGAGTAGTCAAACTAGACAATCCTAAGCTGTTTCCCCTTCTTTGCCGTGTCTTGCCAGGTTAAAACATGATAAAGGCTGTGGTCTATGCCTTCCGCTCAGTCTTGCCTCTGCCCACTCTAATGTTTCCCCAGGTAGCCGTCTATGGCATGGCGTTTTCCTTTCCCTTAGGAAATAAAAATTATAGAAAATCTCCTTCAATGGCATTATCTCTGTGTCATCACTCAGTCACCTCTACAATTAAAATCTTGTATGTACAACAATCAAGACAAAATGCATCTAGATTGAAAAGGAAGAAGTAAGAACTGTCCTTACTCATAGACAGGTTATGTAGGCAATCCAGTAGATTTTGTAGATACAAAAGAGCTAATAGAGTTATAAGTAATTTAAGCAAGGTTGCAGAATACAAGAGCAAGATACAGAAATCTTATTGTGCTTTATATGCTAATAACAAAGAATTGGAAATCGAAAAAAACCCATTTATAATAACACCATAATATGAAATACTTAAGAATAAATACAGCAAGATCTGTACATTGATAACCACCAAATTTGCTAAGAGAAATTGAAGAAGACCAATAAATTCTTCTATGAGAGGACTCAATACCGTTAAGATGTCAAGCTTCCCCAAATTAATCTGTAGCTTTAACATAATCTTAACCAAAATCCCAGTAGGCTTTTTTGCAGAAACTAACAAGGCAGTTCTGAAATTCCTAAAGTGGGGTGCCTGGGTGGATCAGCTAGTTAGGCATCTGAGTCTTTAAAAAAATTTTTTTTTTAAATTTATTTTTGAGACAGAGAGAGACAGAGATGAGTGGGGGAGGGGCAGAGAGAGAGGGAGACACAGAATCTGAAACAGACTCCAGGCTCTGAGCTTTCAGCACAGAACCCGATGCGGGGCTCGAACCCATGAACTGTGAGATCATGACCTGAGCTGAAGTCGGACGCCTAACCAACTGAGCCACCCAGATGCCCCAAGCGTCTTACTCTTGATCTTGGCTCAGGTGATAATCTCATGCTTCATGTAATCAAGCCCTGCATTGGGCTCTGCACTGACAGTGTGGAGCCTGCTTGGGATTCTCTCTCTCCTCCTCTCTCTGCCTCTCCCTTGCTTGCATGCATGCTCTCTCTTTCTCTCTCTCTCTCTCTCTAAACAAATAAATAGGGGTGACTGGGTGGCTCAGTTGGTTAAGCATCTGACTTTTGGTTTCAGCTCAGGTCATGATCTCAGGGTTTGTGAGTCGAGGCCCACATTGGGCTCTGCACTGATGGTGCAGAATCTGCTTGGGATTCTCTCTCTCCCCCTCTCCTCTCTCTGCCCCTCCCACATCTCTCTCTCTCTCAAGATAAACTTAAAAACTAACTAACTAAATAAAAAACAAACATTAAAATAATTTTCCTAAAGCAGTTTGAGGACTGAAGCCAACCAAAACAACTTTGAAAATGAAAACAAAGTAGAAGGGTTTATTCTATCCAACATCAAGACTTATTGGGGCGCCTGGGTGGCTCAGTCAGTTAAGTATCTGACTTCAGCTCAGGTCATGGTCTTGCGGTTTGTGGGTTTGAGTCCCACATTGGGTTCTGTGCTGGCAGCTCAGAGCCTGGAGCCTGTTTTGGATTCTGTGTCTCCCTCTCTCTGCTCCTCCCCCACTCATGCTCTGTCTCTCTGTCTCAAAAAATAAGCTATAAAAATTTTTTAAAAAGACTTATTATATATATATTTTAATGTTTTTCTTTTTAAATTTCTGAGAGAGGCAGACAGACAGTGTGAGCAGGGGAGGGTCAGAGATTGAGGGATATACAGCATCTGAATCAGGCTCAAGGCTCTGAGCTAGCTGTCAGCACAGAGCCCAATGCAGGGCTCTAACCCACGAACCATGAGATCATGACACGAGCTGAAGTCAGACACTTAACTGACTGAGCCACCCAGGCACTCCAAAAAAGACTTATTATAAAGTAGTTGTAATCCAGATGGACAAATAGATCAATGGAAAGAACAAAATACAGAAACAGACCTACACATATGTGGTCAGTTAATTCTCCACAAAGGTGCAAAGGTAATTCAGTAGAGAAATGATAATCTTCTAAACAAATGTACTAGAACTACTAGACTCCATATGCAAAAAACAAAATACAAAAAAGAAAAAAACCTCAACAACACACAAAACACCATACCTTGATCCGTTAAACAAAAATTAACTCAAAATGAATGATAGGTCTAAACTTAAGACGTATGGAGTGCCTGGGTTGCTCATTCAGTTAAGCGTCAGACTCTTGGTATAGGCTCAGATCATGATCTCACGGTTCGTGAGACAGAGCCCCATATTGGGCTCCACATTGACAGCATGGAGCCTGCTTGGGATTCTTTATCTCCCCCTCTCTCTTAGCCCCACCCCCGCTCATGCACTCACACTCTCTCTCACTCTCTTTCAAAATAAATAAACTAAAATATAAAAGGCCTAAAATTCCATAACTCAAGAAAAAACAGAGGAGCAAATGTGACTTGAGGCTTGGCAAAGATTGCTTAGATTCAACACCAAAAACATGTTCTATAAAAGAATATACTAATGAATTGCAGTTTATCAAACTAAAGCTTCACAAATTGAAATAAAATTATATATATATATAAATGTTTATTTATTTTTGAGAGAGAGAGAGAGAGTAGGGAAGAGGCAGAGAGAGAGAGGCAAAGAATCTGAAGAAGACTCCAGGCTCTGAGCTGTCAGCACAGAGCCTGAAGCAGGGCTCGAACTCATGAACCACAAGATCATGACCTCAGCCGGTCGGAAGCTTAACC